TCTCTCTCTCTCTCTCTCTCTCTCTCTCTCTCTCTCTCTCTCTCTCTCTCTCTCACACACACACACACACACACACACACACACACACACACACACACACACACACATGCCTCGTGCCGTACGATGACAGTCAGTACTGTACTCATGTACGACACCCCGACATGTCATGTCCACTTTGTAGACGGGCTGGAACGGCAATGCCTCTATAATTGTGGTTGACGTGCCTCTGTGTTCCTAGCATGTACGAGCCACGTAGTCTGTGACATCTGTCTGCGCCGTGCCATTCGATGCAGCAACTGTGACTGCGAAAATTGGATGCGGTGCTTCCATAGCCCACACCCAAACCGGTCCTGTCCGGTCTGTAGGAGTGGCCACTCGCCATAGTGTTTTTTTTTTTGTTTTTTTTTTTTTTAAGAAGTCTGCTTCAGCGCTGAATATTTAGAAATCTGTGAAACCCGGCATACACCTTTCCCCTGCTCTTTGCATGTCATACTCTATCCTGCCCTCCCGTTGCCCCTACCTCCCCCGCCCCATACTCCTAGAGAACTCCGCCTTCTACCCCTTACCCTCCACCCTTCCCTCCACTCCCCTTGTACTACTAACAAATACATATGAATGAGCATCATTAAGAGTATAGACGATATGAAGATCAGAAATGAAATGAATGGAAGTATGAAGATTAAGGACGGACACAAAGACTGTATAAGCCGAAGATCTGAAGTGAAATGAACAGGAGTATGAAGCTCTGAAGAGATGCACAGGAGCATACCTTCCCTTTTACTCTGCCTCCTGAAATAACGTGCAAGTGGGCCGTGAAGGCACACGAGGATGTGGGCAGCTGCCGCTCAACCACAATCAACATGGGCAGCCTTGTGCGTAAGAGGCACGGTAAAAGGGGAGCTGCAAGAACAATGAAAGGGGTACCCCAAGGACAACCAAAAAACTGTCTAATTATCCAATTGCTTTAATATGTTGGACATCTCAAATGCTCTCGTTGTCTGCAATAGGACAAAGACTGCTTTGATTCTGAATCTATTCACCTGGGTGGAATTGGGGCTGTTGTGGGGAAAATCTAAAACACACACACACACACACACACACACACACACACACACACACACACACACACACACTCCTCTCTCTCTATTAGGCTCTGGCTCGCTCGTGACTAGATACTTACCACCGAAAGATGAAGTCTTGAGCTGTTCTATGTCGCAGGTTGAAGGCTGACTATGTCCAGTGTCGAAGACCCAAGCTATGGCATCCAGGTGAGTGCTCCAACGCTGTGCTGCTCCCGAAGGCCTCTCCTGTACTCTGTTACTACTACACCTCAGCGCTAAACTCTACAATGCTCCTCTACTGCTGCTGGCACAGCATCATTCTGAAGTGTGACCTCGCACTGCTTCTGAGAACTGAGGACTGGCCCAGCTAAATAGTGCTAGGCTTACTGGCATGTCAGGCAGCCTGGAGTCAGGGCCTTCCAATCGATGTGTCGATTGATGGTCTTGGAAGCAGGCTCTGGGGATGGACTACCTACCTGGTCCAAAACATGGCCTGCCTTGGTCCCTGCCAGATGTCCAGGCTCATCATGGATGTTCCCAGAAAGGAGAAATGGGCTGGACTTCGTGATGGAACGATCCAGCCCAAACCAAAGCGCGTCAGGCCTAAGAAATGGCCGCTGGGCCAGAAACTAGCCCGGCCAGTCCAACAGGCTCTAAAAAAGTCCAAACAAGACATCCCAGACTGGCAAAACCTGGAACATACAAAACTGCTGTGAAACCTCCCATACTCAAAACCACCTACCTAGGGCCTAGGCCTCTACGAGGCTAAAAAGATGGCTGTGGTCCTGGAGTCGCCCAAATATGTTGTGTGTGTGGTCGAAGGCCTCCAACTGGTCCAATGTGGGGCCCATGTGCAATCTGTGTATGCCACACAAGCTTCAAGCAACAGAAGCCGCGTTACATGAAGCCAAATAGGCAACTAGTTTCACTCTGTGCTACCTGTCACCCTTATCCAGTGCAGCTTCTGTCGCTTGAAGCTTGTTGTGAAGTATGGGTCCTTCATTATGCTGTTCTGCCAAGGTTCCTTTTGCCAAAAAGGAACTCACGGGAATGAAATTGTGTGATCAACTTGATGTGCACAGCGTCTGCCTTGTACAGCTTCTTAATCCTTGGTGTCTTCTGTTCAAACCACTCTGGCTTTGTGCAGGTCACAACCATGATGAAGACGAAAATCAGGAACCAATTCACTCCAGTCTCGAAAGCATTGGGGAAATCAGACGTGCCCTAGACGCGCATGAAGGTTGCAGGGTAGGCCCCTCCAACATCCCATCTCGTCCTCCTGCTGCTTCTGCTGCTTTTTTTTTGTCATTGTCATCGCTTTCATCACAGGATCATCACCGCCACGTCCTCTAGAAGATGAAGAGTGCAGGAAAGTTGTCAGAAACTGAGCTTGTCATCCCTGTGGAGATGTGACCCAATGAAAACTCTTGGATAAAAAATCTGATCTCTTGATGTAGTAGTACTGCAGCTTGCACCGAAAGTTGTGAGGTGCAGAACTCCAATTTGAGTCATTTTTTGGAAAGCTCCATCACCTCTTCATCTGGCCAAATTTTGACTGGTGAGCTTGGCGACCTGCAGCCATTGAGCTGTGCTTTCTGCAACCGTTGATGGATTGCTGATTGGCACAGGAACGGGTAAAACTCTGGTCCATGATTGATGCAAAATTGCAATAAGAAATTAATTCAAATCTTATTACTGCCTTGACCTTTTGTGACGAATTGGTTTACAGTAGCATTCTTTGGCGGCGCGGTCTCCTGGACCTCTTTGGCTGGCGGCCCCAGCCAACAAGATGCAGTGACCTGCAGAGAATCGGTATGAGATTTATGCTGTTTTCTGAGTACTGCGATAACTTAGCTCAAATCATGCATCAGTCGCGGCCGTGGGCTGCGACCGTGGTCAAAGAGGCCAAAACAGGGGTCATAGGCCACGCCCAAGTCATGCAACAACCCACAAGGAGGTCTGCTGCTGGGCACCCAAAACAAGGCCTGGAAACTGGCCTTAAGCCCAACCTGCAACAGTTGACTGCAGTCCACAGCAGCTCGGAAATTCAGATTCACGAGTCAACGCGGACCCGGTCCAGGCCGTCGATCAGACACACACTTTTGGTTGTTTGCAGGTATCCCGTAAGGGATCAAGACCAGGTGGAAATCTACAACTGTAAGGGATCCAAGCCATTGGCTGCAAAGTAATCTAGGCCGTCGTATCCGAGAGACCAGAGGCTGGTCAACCTCGAGTCAACACTATAAGTTGACTCAGCCCCTGTTGACCGACATTCAGTCTTGCACTTGCTGCTCAATGCTGGCACAATGCTGGCACAATGCTGGCACAACGCTGGCTCTGCGCTGGCTTGACATTGGACGACAACACGAGACTGCTTTGCGACTACTTGATGCTGGCGCCCTCTCTGTCTTTGGCGCCAGCTGGACCAGAGACCATGCTGACGTGGCATTGGCCACTCTGTCTACGAGATAAATGAGACATCGGCGAGGAGGAGGAGGATCAGGGCTGTGAGATTGTGGGAAGCTTACCTGTCCGCGACCGATCATTGTTGCGCAGACAACATCTGCAACCGATCATCAGACCTGCTCTTTGTCAGATTGTGTTAGAGGGGACTGTCTGCTGATGTGGCGAAGGGAGATGCCCGAAGGAGAAGAGGGTTCTGAGGGAGACCTATCTGCTAAGCTGATGGTTACTTTCTCTTCCACCTTCTAAGTTTCCTCTCCCTCCTCTCATCTTCTTCTCTGGCGACGTTGTCGCACCGCCACCGCTTCCAGAGCCAGGTTCAATGTCCCCTCCTCGGGCCGAGTGCAGTGGGTTGGTGGACTGGCAGGTTGTCACGCAGGATTTTGGTAAGTATAAAGGAATTATATGAAATAAAGGTGCATTCAGAAATAACCTTTGTCACACTTAGTTATATAGTCGAGTAGTCAGGGTTATCCCTCCTGCCAACGGCGACACGGCTTAGAGTGAGGTGTTCGAGTTTATCGCCTGCACTTGGCCCCGTATAAAGGTCAGACTCAAGGTCACCAGAGTCCCTATTATCCAGGAGTCCTTCAAGTAGCCTCGAGTGTAACCTGTATAATAAGCGGAAAAAAATAACATAACATCTCATGCATCATAAAATAAATGACACTGAAAAGCAAGAAGACCACAAACCAGATTCTGCAAGAGCATGACTAGAGACACGAGACTGAAGAGTAGTACACTGGGAATGCGGGGAGCAGCCATTGGAGGGCTCCAATCACTGATAAGTCATAATAATCAGGGTTGTTTTGGCGCCTACCGCCTACCAGTGGGCCCGACCCGTAGGCGGACCCGTCGGCAGTCGGCAAACTGCCAAAAAAAAAAATTCTTAAGTTTTTTGATGATATGGTCGTGTGCGGCTTGAGGAGAGCAGCCCAAATCCGCAATAAAACTTTGTGGGGGTGATGGGGTTGGATTGGGGGG